GGTCGATATAGGTGGGGGGTGCCGCGTCACCAAGTTTATATCATTAGCTGGCTCAGAAATATCATCCGGCGTCACGATAGCGATTGTTTCTTCTGTTTGTTTCCCCCATTCCTGCTCATGTCCAAAAATGACGTTCAACCCTCCGCCACCATTGTTTCCGTTACCAGCGCCCATAAAAGGGCCAGCTCCAACAACATATTCCCACTCAACTTCATTTCCGATTTCCGCGTCCTCTTCCATTTGCCTCTCCTCTTCTGTCGCTAGTTCATCTTTCTTCCCCATAATGGCCTCGTCCCGTTCTTGCGACACAACCTCAAACTTCATTCCATCCTTCACATCCTTCCCTCCACCATTTCCTCCAGATTGATCGATCACAACCGCAGAAACGCCTCCACCCACCCAAAGTTTAGAAACGTCATTATACCGTGACCTTCCACGTGAATTCAAATCTTCTACCGCTTCTCCCGTTCTATCGTCGATATTAACATCGTGATGGTTGAAATAGGCTGTTGCGAGGCCAGTGATAGAAATAGAATTGGTATTATCATCTGGCTCATGGTCGGGATCGAAAGAAAGAGGACCAGGAATGGGACCAGGATAACCGATATCCTCGTTACCCATAGATAAAGCAGGAGGAGATCCAAGCACCATCACCTCGGAATGTGATATTATATCGGTAGCCTCGTCAGCCTCCTTCACGGGCACAGGCGGCGGACTAATTCGTGGAGCTTGATGGCGAATATTGTAACGGCTAAAACGATCACCGCCAAAGTCCGCTTCATCATCGTCATCATCCAAAGAAGACGATGCCGATTCCGATTTAAACGACAAGGAGGTATAGGTCGAAGATAACGACCTCGACCTCGAGACGGTATCTGATTCCGAAGGGGACCGACTTGGAACCCTAGCGGACGCGGGCGGTGTCGCTAGCGAAGTAGAATGCGAGGACGGATTAGGATAAGTATACAGATAGGAGTTGTAAAGTGAAGAATCATCGGTTTCGCTATCCGTGTTAACGCTGGTGGTGCCACCCGTTCTCGTCGTTCTGGTCCTCGTCCTCACAGTGGGTGCCAAAATTGCGCTGCTAGTATCAACGGTAATGGAATCGGGAAAAGCGGAGGTCAAAGTCGTCATGTCGGACATCATTCTAGGATCGGATATAGCGAGAGCCATTTCCATGAGGGACGTTGCTGCGGGCGGTGTTAAAGATCGTGGTCGTGGTCGTCGTGGTATTAGTATTTCATCATCATCATCCGCCACTAATTTCTTATCTACACCCGCTGCTTCCTGCTCCTGGTCTTCGTCGTCTTCCATATGGTTATAGTGATCCATAAACTGGTCCATAAATCGATCCACGTCATCATCATCATCTTCATCATGACAGTGTACTTCTGCACCCACGACGTCATCGCCTTCAGCAAATACGTGATCATAAATCTTTGCATCACGTACGGCACCCGCAGTTGATGCTGAATTCGCCAGACCTATATCAGGTGTTCCAATACCTTCAAGGACTGACGACCGTGGTATCAGCTGAGCCTGTGGCGGAGACCTGGGAGGTGATCTCGACTCGGTCGTTATTCCCCTCTCACTACTCCTGCTACTACCACCACCATCATACCCATAAACAACTCCAACTTCCGACCCAAGCGCTAATATCTGACTTGGCAATAACGGTTTCTGACCCAGAGGGATAGGTTGAGAAGTCAACGCGCTAGAGGTAAGAGCTAATGAGACGTTGGGTGGCAGTTGTGCACTTGCACTTGTATGTGTGTGTGAGTGTGAGGAGGACGAAGCAGTAATGGAAGAAATAGAATGCCGAAGAGGGAAGGGAGGGGAAGATATCGAAACGTTTGAATCCAGATTGGACTGCATTATAAAAGGAGAGGCAGAAATTGATCCAGAAACTAAAGTCGGCAAGGGTGGCACAGGCGGTACAGCTTCTCCCCCTCCTTCGCCTCCACTCCCAATGCCAACCCCTTCTCCCAACAAGACAGGCGACGTTTCACCGGACGAACCATGTCCTGAATCCACATCCACACCACTATCCAAGTTATTCCAAGGCTCGAAAGGAAGCCTAGCGCCTACTTTTCCTTTACGGACCTATAACGAGTAGTTAGCGGTTGGTTCTTCGCCCACCAAAAAAGAAAACCAACCTTCCTGACACCAAGTCCAGCTCCAGGTACGAAATTCATCTTGGCGAGGGTATCTAAAGAAGGTAAAGAAGGACGAGATTTAAACGCTGGTCGTTGATATGCCGGAGATGGCCGATGTAGGTGTGGGTGTGGTTGATGAGGGAGTGACGGAGGTCGAGAAATAACCAAAGATGGCTGAGAAAATGTAAGTGGAATAGCAGGTGCTGAGTTAGGGGGTTGTTGTTGTGGTTTCCAGGTGCTTGAACTTGGACCATTGTCCGACCCACCACTGGACGGAGCACCAGAAGAGGTGGCAATTGAAGGGAGTGAGGATCTCATTCCCAAGCCTTCATTTCCTGAGAAAGTACCTCGTGAAGGCGAGGTAGGTGTAGATCGGGATTGAGCAATAGTTGCTCTTGATGAAACGGGACCTGTGGCCGAAATTGTTGGAGGACCCGTGGTTGGGGGCGGCAGTGGTGATGGTGGTAGTGCAATCGGAGTGGTATTTGAACCTGAAGCGGTTGGGCCTAGAATAAACGAGGTAATTATATGCAGACCCGAAACGGTAAACAACGCGTACCTATCGTCAACCCAGCAACCAGCCCTTCGTCAAGTTCATGATCGTCATTAATAACCAAAGGCGAACGAGGTGTTTTCACATCTCCCAGTCCACTGCCATTTACCAAACTCAACTGCCTCCCAACCTTGCATCCACCTCCCAACCCACCAACAGATCCTCCTCCGGTCAGATTCGCAAACGGGTCATCGTCCAATAAAAAGTCAGGTGGTGGAGAATTACGTGGCAAAGGCATGGGACTCTGGGTCGCATTCAAGTTGGGGTTTGAAGTTGAAGGTTGTCTTTGCCGGCTTGGGTTTCTATCTAGAGGGGTCGGAACGGGGAGGATGGCTGTTGGTCTTGCTTTATTTCTCACATGAGTAGAATCTCGTGGTCTGTAAGCGGATACAAAAGAAAGAGGCTGTAGGTGTTGTGATGAAGTGATAGAAGATGTTCTAGTGACCGCTCGGGCTCTTGATCTATTTGTATTTGTAATCGTGGCCGTAGTTATAGTAGGGGATGTAGGGGATGTTGGTGAAGGAAGTGGAGGAGGAAATCTTGAAGTGTATAAAGCAGTCGCAGTCGGCGTTGTAGAAGATGATGACGAAGAAGATGAAGAAGATGAAGAAGATGCTGATAATAACGAAGGCGACATAGCAGTAGTCATCACCATCGAATCCGTCGTCGGTCCAATCCTAGTCATGGCCTGGGTAGGGGTAGTCGGACTATTAGCATCAATTGAACCGAGTACGACCGGATCCTTGCTGTGACTCTGACTATGTCGAAACCCAGGTAATCCGATTTGAATACTTCCTCCAAGCATGGAGAATGAGAATGACGAAGGCCGTTTCTTTGAGGGTTTATTCAATGGGCGATGATGTAGTTGTAGTAATTGCTTTGATACTGGTGTGGTGGTGGTGGTAGTAGTGTCGACAGTAGTAGTGGGGTCCAACAACCTCAAACTAATTGTGCGTTTTTTCGATTTCCCAATAACATTCACATGTGTTGGCTGCTGCTGCTGGATATTTTCCTCGAATAACGGCAGAGGAAGACCTCTATCGTCATAAAGACCAAGTTCTTCGTTGGGACCTTTGGCTGCCACGCGAGCCTATTGAAACGGATGAAGACCAAAAGTCAGAAATGCGTGAGTAAAGTATAAGTAACGTGCACACACGGACGGCCACGACGGGCCAACCCAAGAAAAAAAAAAAAAAAGGAAGTTCCAGGTACGTATACTTTGTATGTAAAACGTTTATGCTGTCAAACCAAACGTCTATCTATCTATATATGCGGCGTTTGGGTTCTTTTTCCGCCTGGACTCACCAATAATTGCATCTCAAAATCCTGTACTGATCCTGCAAGTCGTTCTCTAGGCGGGTTTCTCACCAAAACCATTCGTTCAGTGGTGGGGGTTTGATACCCGTTGTCACTGTTGTCGTGGTTATGAGCGGACATGATGGTGGATGTGCGTGCGTGTGTGTGGGGGAGAATGAGAAAGGAGGGCAAAAAAATCAAACACGATCAAAATAAAACAACAGGCTCCATATCATCCATCATAATCCCCAGCATTCTACATCGCAACATTGCAACATATAAGTAAGTGAAAAAAATAAAAATAAAAAATCTCGTTTCATCCAAATTTGGTGCGCCTTCATGTGGATGGTTTGCCATATTTAGTCGTTTCGTGATCCCACATCATATCAAGGGCTGCCGTCCCGTCCTCGGGGATGGCCGGCTCCAATGATGTACAGTGCAGTGAATATGGGATAGAGGTTTCCAAAGGTTGGCTCCGGCTGATGTGGGTAAAGAGGGCATAATTAAATATTGTATACTGTATAGTTGACATGGATTGAACATGTCTATACAATTTTGGTTCAATTCAGACAAGGATTTTTCTGAATCTAGAACTGAACCTTTGTTGGAATAAGTACAAGCCATTGAAGCCATCAGCAAAATACATCAGCTCTTGAACCTCCATTGTAACCCCTTTGATGTGCTTGATGCCATTTCAAGAAGCAAGTCCATCATCAAAATGTGAGGGTGATCTTTGGCATCTTTATCTCCAGAAGGCATGTCTTCAAGCACATTGTCTTTGTATGAGTGGTCTTTCAATACAAATATTTGGTCTCTGACATCAGTCTTTCACATCTTTGATTCCAAAGCATGGTCTTTTTATCCCAAGATCTTTGCATCCAGTATTCTGGGGGAGATTGTCACCAGACATCCCTCAGCTACACCACCTGATTCTGGGGCAATCTGTACTTAGGTTATTGTTAGAAACTGATCAGGTGACCTTGGGAAAATGAATGTGACTCGGATTGGGATTGAACCAATGACCCCCAGCCATATATGCCAGTGCTCTAACAACTGAGCTACTGGGTCAATAGGAATGGTGGATTTGATATCAACAGTTATCATATTGAAATGTATCTATTAGAAGGCATATTCATGTACATGGTGGTCTAGGTATTTATTTACATAAAATGCCTTGAAAGCATCAAGGCTATGGTCAAATGTGAGGTGGTAAGGAATTCGGGTGGTACCCATAGTGATGGAAAAGTTCAGTTCAGTTTGGTTCTCAAGGCCTTTTCTCTGAACCTGAACTGGACTCTCAGTTTGGTTCAACCATTTCTCCTGAACCACAAACTGAACTGGTGGTTCTGGTTCTAAACAGTTCTGTTCAGGGTTCAGAGACTCATGAACTGTGAATGGAACCTATTTTCAAGAAAAATAAAGAATTTGTTGTCCTTAAGGACATGTTTTTTACTCCACAAAATGTAAATTATAGGGTAGATTCATCTCTAAAACCCACAAGATCCATGATTAGTGCCTCAATATGTTGTGCAGCCTGATTAACAGCTGCTACATGACCATTTTGGTAAGCACTCTTGAGGATTTGAAGTGCCTCAAAAACCTCCACAGAAAGCCGGTTGTGGTGAGCTGCCCCCATAATACCACCACTGCTAAAAGCCCTTTTAGAAGGAGTTGATGAGCCTTGGATGCAAAGGTAGTCTCATGCAATCCACTTCAGCATGGGGTATTTTGCATTGGACTGATGCTAGAGTAATATTAATGTGCTTGAACTTTGGCTCTGAATCACTTACTCCCCACCAACATACCACATTATCTGTGGGCTTAGGACCAGACTCCAGGTATTGCTTCAGTTCATTGCAAGGTGAGTCAGCTGATTTTTCTTCCTGTTGGAAAGACTGAACAGCTTCGAGGAGATAAGAGCCCCCATAGCGACAAATAGGTGCTGCTATAATCAATTTAAATTTGGGAACACAAGATAATTCATTAGAAAATAAATCATTTACCTTGAGTTGCACTTGAATCATGAACAGGAGTTGCAGAATTAATAGATGTTGGAGGACTGTAATAATCATCAAACTAGAAGTAACAATTAATATCAGTTATATACTTGTTAGAGGAAGTAAAGACCTGCAAGGTCACTGTAACATGTTAAAACAAAATAAAATAAAAAACCCCAGTCAGGGGGGTTCATTGTCTCAGAGAATGGAAATGAACCAAAAATACCCCCCCAGTGAGGGGGGGTTGCCCTTGTTGTTGTCTGACATGGTGTTGTGTGTCATCACCACTGTTGTTGTTGTTGTCAGTGGTTGTTGTTCGTCATGGTGCTAGCAGTGGTGGTGAGGTGGGGATTTGTGTTGTGTGGGGTGGTAGGGAGAGTGTGAGAAAACAAGCTGCTGGCAGCTTGTTGATGTGCATCACATGGTCACATGACCACCTTGCAGGCTAAAAAAAATTCAAAGTTGTGATGGCAATAAGACATTGCCACCTCATAAAGTAATGAATATTAACTTTATTACTATTAAATATATTTTTCAATATTAATAGTAATAGCTTGGACTTGGATTATTCCTAGCAGTTCCTAGTGATTCCATGCGGAATCCAAACAGACTCCCAACTAGGAAATCCGAGTCCTAGCAACTCTGCTAGGAGTCTGCTTGGACTTCACTCAGACTTCACTCAGACTAGCAATGGAAATTTGGCTGATTATTCTGCCAAAAAAATTCCTAGTAAAGTCCAAGTGGAGTCTGAGCTGTCTGTGTGGACAGCTAGGAGTCCACACAGAGTCCACGCAGATGGGCAACTGAATCTTTGTGACCAGGTTCCCCCCACCACTGATGGACATCCATGCTACTTCCACCATTTCTCAACAACTTGCCAAAGCTTTTAAACTTGATTCAGAAAAACTGGACTCACACCCAGAGGGCACCAGATTTGCTGAAGGCATTCAAGGTTACCTTCATGATTTCAGGAGCGTATTTTCCAAGTAATTGTTCAATATATTGCCAGACCAGAAACCATGGGACCATGCTTTCAAACTTATTCCAGGAGAAGAAGCTTCAAATTGCAAGGTGTATCTGCTGGCTCCTACTGAAAAAAAGGAACTTGATTAATTCCTCCAGGAAAATCTAGAGTCGGGACATATTCAGCCTTCAAAATCCCCTATGGCATCTCCAGTCTTCTTCATTAAAAAGAAGTGTGGAAGCCTCCAACTCATCCAGGACTACTGAGCTCTTAATGTAATCATGGTCAAAAACAAGTACCCACTTTCACTCATTTCCAAACTGATCACCCAACTTCAGGGTGTGAAATACTTTACAAAGTTTGATCAAGGGGGCACCGGGATCAAAAAAAATACCCGGGGTCGATTTATTTTTTAAGCCAACTTTGGGTGGACTAACTAACTTATGTAATCAGGCACACATCTATATATGGCAATATGACGTCATCCTATCCTCACCTCCGTGCTCGCTTGCCTCCCCTTGCCTCAGAAGACACCTCGCAAAACCTAATTCTGGGGCTCCAACTCTAGGTATTAGAGGTGATACTAACATCTCAGGTAAGTAATGCAGCACAATCCTACTTGATAATGTGGTACTTACCCATTGAGTTTCACAGCCAGACTGATTACATTTGATTGTGCCACCTGATCAACCATCAAGTACCTGGGTGAAGGGATATTCAGTGCATTTCAAATTGCCTATAGATACTGGTTGTAAATAGTGTGATCACCCATAAAATATGAATATTACAGTCTTATAAGTTATCTACCTACACCAGACCTATGATACTAGAGAAACTCATTTCTGCACATCTTATGCATGTAGTAAGGCCTTAATAGCTTCAAATTGATGTTTTAAACCCTTGTTCTGGTGAAGTCCTTTTTTTTTTTGGGGCCTCCAGCTGGACTAACTAACCAGGTACCGGTCTGGCATTTTGATCCCGGTGCCCCCTTGAGTTGGATGTTTGGTGGGGTTTTAATAATGTTCAGATGAAAGGAGGAGACAAATGGAAAGCTGCCTTTTGGACCAATCAGGGACTTTTTGAACCCTTAGTGATGTTCTTCAGTCTTACAAACAGCCCTGTGACATTCCAAACTATGATGAATGTCATTTTTCAGGAACTCATCATGGAAGGAGTAGTGGTTGTATACCTAGACAATATCCTCATTTTCACAGAGACACTGGAAGAACATTGCAAGGTCACTCAGAGAGTCATGGAACTGCTTTGGAAGCACAAACTCTTCCTTAAACCAGACAAATGTTACATTCCATCATACATTACTCCGGTCCGACTCTGTTGGAGTTGTTTCCGGTAGTCCGTACTCCATTGCAGTACTTTCCCTTGTCTCTGACTCTACTCCTCCTACGTCCGACTCCGAGACTTCTCCGTATCATTCCAACTCTTCCGACGATACTCCAAACCCTTTACCACACCTTCGTCATAACAACTATTCCTTTGTCATCACTTTCCCACTATCAGTCAGCACACCAGCCATGGATTATTCACCCAAGAATGCAGGACCTTTTCCAGGAGCAGAACGCAGCACTTATATTTATATTCTATATTTCGGTTGCTATTACTTTTATATTTAAGTACTCGAACTTGTATGTTTTTCCTCAGTTCAAATATCATCTTAGTTTCCTCCTCTTGTTCGTCCTCTAAGTCACTGAGGTCTTCCAACTTTCTGTTCTCTTCCGGTTCTGAAATCAGGACATTGTAGGAGCTGGGCGGCACAGCACATACGCTGAGGCCAAAGTCCTTTCCATTACTTGTTCCGGTTCCATTCCGTCCAATCTGGTGTTACTCCGACGTGACTCCCTTTGTTTTAAACTTAACAACAAATGTGAATTTGAACAGACCCAAGTGGAATACCTTGGAGTTATCATTTCCTATAACTCTGTGGAGATGGACCTGATAAAAGTTGCTGGAGTTGTGGGGTGGCCTACTCTACACATAACACCACCTGTCACCTCAATCTCACCCATCGTACAACAACCCTATGTTATTGCCTAGGCCAGTTGCAAAATCAGAACTGTCTGCTTCAAGTTGGAATGGTCAGAAATTGTCTGGGGATGCTAGGATGGGGGTGATCAGCTGTTGATGTTGCAGAATTATTACTCAAATTGGAGAAAGATAAGGGAATAACCAGTATTTTGGGCAGGTTTGTGTGGGATTCCTGAGTGTTATATTCTGTCATGCATTACTCTGGTCCGGCTCTGTCTGAGCTGTCTCTGGTAGTCTGCACTCCATCCATACCAGTGCTTTCCCTTACATCTGGAACTACTCTTCCTACATCCAGCTCTGAATAGTGTTTGAAGGTTAGGTTAGTTAACTGGAAAACAACCAAGACCTAATCAGACCTAACTGCAAAGCTAACCTAACTGCAGTTAGGGTTAGTCAATTTTGAAAATAAAATAACTGGTTATAACCGCCCCTATTTTACCCCTTCAAAATGTGCCTAAGAACATCAAAAATGCTCAAAATTTGACTGAGTTATTGTCAAATCTCTAAATATTAGTCAAAATTGTAGATTTTTAAGATTATTTTCATAAATATGTCAATTCTTCACCAAATTAAGCATTCTTGGGCTCATTTTAAGGCTATGATAAGCGGAAATAATATTTACTGAGACATATATGGACAAATTTCCCTATTCTTTGCTGAATGTTAATTTTCTGTGCTTAACCGGTTAGTAACTGCAAATGTTATGACTTTGAACGATTCAGATGTCTCTGATTGTAAACAGTCGTAAAGAAGAGTTTGTTTGTTCACAATGAGCTCAAAGAATACCAAGAGAAATGTCTCAAGGAATTGTCTTTAGAGTTTGAGGAAGATTCAAGAAGAAGAGTAGATACAATTCTCAAGAATTAGCTAAGGGTTACATGAGTTGTAAATACAGTATTTATAGTAAAATAGGAGAGTTGTGCATAAGGTGAAATGTCCGCATGTAAGAAGGTATGCATGGTTAAGAATAGATGAAACAATGAAAGAAATGAGGTGAGCATATGTAAATGGAGATGAAAAGTAAATGTGGAATGCATGTATGTGAAATGGCATTGTGTTTGGTG